AAGTTGTCCCATTATTTTTCGTGTAATTTTCCTGGAATTTTTAAATTGTTGTTACTGTTGATTAGTTACTGTGCAGTGACGAGAAGGGACGGTGAAGAAGTAGAAAAAGACGACAAAAAAGAAAAGCAAAAAAATTTTTGCTACGTGCATTTGTATTTTTTTTTGTTCATTTATTTGGCTGCAAAAGCAAAAAAAATAAAAATAAAAAATAAAGAATAAAAATTTTTTCTTTTTTCATCTGGAAAATGAAGAACAAAAAATGGAGACAAAGTGATGGAAATAATCGACAGGTTAGAAAAAAATGCCAATTTTACACAGAATTTTTTTTTTTTTGGTCCAACAAATAAACTGCTTACTGTTTTTTTGTGAAACAAAAATTTTAAGATTTGAAATGACATTGGTATAAAACGTTTGACTCTTCAAGTTGCCCATTGAATAACTTTTTGAAGTAGCATTTTTTTATGGAACACTGAACCGTGTAGCTTGACAATAATTTCACCAAGTTTTGCATCTGATCAAATCAGTTCTATACAATACTGCTATAAATAATAAGAGGTACAGAAGCTGTTTGTAGAACAGTTGAAGCAACGCTGAAATGTGGTATATCGGTACAGCAATGGAAGGGAATATCAAAAACACTGTTGTAGCAATCGTTAGAATTGGTGGTCTCTAATCTTAAAGCAACAATGGTTCAAAGATTTTGATAAAAATAAAAAGCAAAAAAAACGGGACAAAATTTCTTCTTTAATGAAAATTTCTTTTTTTTCTCTGTTGTTCTTTCTGTTCTTTTCTTCTGTTTAAGAAAACACAATATAAATTATTGTTATTTTATACTGAAATGACGAAAAAAAAATGAAGTAAAATAAAACTAAGAAATTAATAAGGGAAACAAAAGAAAAGTTTGAAAAAATTTAAAACTTTAAAATTTTGGCACCTGTTAATGAGACATTAAAGAAAGTGTACTTGTTTTGATCTATTTATTGGCAATGGTTTGCCAGAAAATGAGAAACAGGAAAGTTGCTGGGAAACTGGGAAAGGAAGAGTTTTGAAGAGGAATCGAGGAAAAATGAAGTGGTGCGATAAAGGTGAAGGGGAATTACTGCACAGAATTGTTTAGAACAATTGATAACAAGTTTTTTTTTGCGGTGGCAGGGAGGGGGGGTTCTGCTAAGCTTATTTTAATTTTTTCATAAACATTTTCGTAAATTGATGTGCTTTTTAATGCTTCAACCCTTTTTTTTTTTTCAAATTTTACAGTAAAATTCACCGTACTTTTCTGGCTTTATTTGACAGTGCATTTCTTCTGTCTGGTTTTGCAAAGAAGAAAACCAAAAGTTTAATTTTTCGTTTCTGATACTACTTTTCTGATTGTTATTTCGTTACATTTTTGTCCCCCCCCCGCCCCCCTTTCTTTTATCGTTGTTGCTGCTATTTTTTATATTTTATTTTTTTAGTGATTATGACAATGTATTGAAATGTGCTGAAAAATGTGGAGCTGAGATTCAGCCATATTTGCAGCGACGATTGGATATCGAGTTAGAAATTTGTGAACGACGACGTGAAGGTAACCAACAAACACTATTTAAATCAAAGTTAACAAATTGATAAATTGGCAGTTATTACAGTGAGTGAAATAACAGAACAAAGAAATTGAGAAAAACGTTATTTTTTTTTTTAACCACAGTTTTTACTGCTTTTTTAGAAGAAAAGAATTTTTTTTTTTTTTTGAAACAAGAAATTAACTAAAACTACTCAACAATTTTGACAGGTTTTCTAACAATGGCTATGAATTAGAAATTTTTGTTAAATTTAACTGAAAGTTTAGTCAAAGAAGCAAAAAAAAAAAAGAAAGAAAAAATGGGGAAATAAAAAAGAACAGGAAGACAAAAATAATTGGCAAATTTTTTTCTGTTTCTACAATAGTATTTACTTTATTTAGACAACGGCTACTGTAGAAACGGCAATAAATCGTTATGCTTCATAGAATTTAGAGATCGATTTTTTAGATTTTAGTTGGAAAATTGTTTTCTTAAAGCAAAGCAAAAAAAAAAAAAAAAAAAAAAAA